TCAGGCCAGCTGGCACCCCTGGCCCCAGGGGTCCAGGGGTGCCAACTGGCCTCGCCAGCGGCTCTCTCTGCCTCCAAACCACAATGCAATCACTGATCACTGCCGCCTTTGCCCACCCCCCACCTCTTGCCTGCGCCTGGGTTTCTGATTTCTTTCGCCTCCCAGCATTGCGGCTATGTACGCAAATTAACCGCCATCTTTGTTGGTGGTTAACCACCATCTTGGCTGGCAGTTAATTTGCATATTGCCCTGATTAGCCAATGGGAAGGGTAGTGGAGGTATGGCTAATTACCATGTTTCTCTATTATTAGATAGGATTCTTTTCCCTGACTTCCATTATCAAATCCATCCCCAAGTTGGTTCTACCTCTAAAATATACCTATTTCTTACATTCTCCTCCACCATCTAGTCCAAGCCTGGAGTACTACAATAGCTTCCAAAGTGCCCTTCTATTAATCTATTCTCCATACAACAGCCAAGATGATCTTTAAAAATGTAAAATTAAATAATGTTATTCCCCTGTGCTAAATCCTCCCAGTGCTTCAGTTTGCACTAGGAATGATTTCCAGATGTCTTACCTGACCTACAAGTTATGCCTTCTCTGCCTCCCTGACTAGCTAGCGTTCTCGCATGTCACTTTCTTGATATCCTCTAGCCTTCCTAATATTCCTTAAACACACTTGAGTTCATTCGTATGATCTGACGTATATCACTAAGGGCTACAGGACTCCTTCCAAATTCCATTTGGCCTAGTGCAATGCCTAAAATCTTTTGGAATTGATTATTTTGGGTACTGAAGTTCTTTTAATTTTTCAGAATCCTCTATTAAAATGTAATACCACGAGCCATCTTTAGCCCTTTCTGAGTAGAGGTGACGTCATAAAATCCTTAAGCTGCCAAGACATTAGTTATCAGGATTTGCTTCCCAGGTACTTCAAAATGTACAGGTAGCTGGCAGCAAGACCATACAGAAGCAATGCCTAAAAGAGGGGTCTGCAGGGACCTAGAGAGGTAAGAGGCCCCTGGAGCCCTGTGAGAAACCCACTCAATCTCTAATTTTGCCCAAAGCTGCCTTCTTTTGACTCCAAGATTCCTTCTGGGCCATAAACACAAAAGGACAGGACTTCTGTGTACTTCTGAGCTGTATAAGCAGTAAGCAGGACCCCTGAAATCTCTAAGAATAGAAGGCAGTAAGCAGCAGGGTCTCCAGAGGACTCAGCTGCACCCTAATTAGGGAGATAACTGGGGGCATGTGGGGATCCTGACAGGCTCCCAGGGGTCACTTGACAAAGGTAGGGATTTCCCCTTCAATTTCATAGTCACAGGACGGTGGTGATTGAGTCCTGATGGCTCACCACCCTCCTCACACACAGTAACTGCTGAAAGAAGCACCACCAGTGACTGAGTAGAAACTTTCATTATCAGATTTCCTAACTGATTAGAAACTTTCATTATCAGATTTCCTAACCTCAAGGGAGCCACATCTTTGGGGATACTCATGCCTGACCTCTCTTGTGACAGGTAATTATTTTTAGCGGCCTAACATTCTTATATTGGTGAATTCTGTTTAATATTAATGTCCCCTCATTTTCTTTTGTATATGTGTATCTGTCATTTTTCCTCTTTATCGAATTTATTGGGGTGACACCGGTTAACAAAATTATACAGGTTTCAGGTGCACAATTCCACAATACATCATCTGTACACTGTATTGTGTGTTCACCACCCCAAGTCAAGTTTCCGTCGATCACCATTTATTCCCTCTCCCCTCATTTTCAATGGCTCTTTTCCTTGGTGTAATTTTCACACCATTTCCTGGCTTTGAATAAATAAGTATTTGTTGAAATTGGGCTAATTTGCCATAGCTGAGAGGTTGCTGGTGTTGTTTCCCGACTCTAAACAAGGTCTTTATTACATTTAGAAAATATAGACTTCTTTTTTAGGGAATTTCTCACTAAAATTGGCTGGATGGCTTGCTGCTGTGTTACCAGCTTAGCTGGGTGTGAGGAGGCACCACTGTGACTTTTTCTTCTGCTTCATATTAACATCAGCTGAGAATCATTTTTTATCCCATTCCCTGCTTGTAGAAAAGGGTGATTTGGACTCAGCATGAGATGATTTTAAGAAACTTAATTGGAAGCAAAATTGCTCTCTTACTGCAAGGGAGTTCCTCACATATCCAAATGCCAACAGTGACAGCTTTGCAGTATCTGTCCGCTCTCAGTAATATAATTGTAGGG